AATTTTACCTTAGTTACTTAAATATTTTTTAAATGTCAATTTAAAAGTTTTTTTTATGAACATAATATAAATACAAGTTTCGATTGTGTTCATTTCAAAAGTATTGAAAATACGATTATAGTAATATAATTAATCAAATAATATTCATTATTGAGTTCATTTCGAGGAGATTAACGAGACGATTATAATTGTATAATTTGTTAAAATAAATTGTTTTTTTAACGTATTTTAGCTAATATACGTTTATGTATGTTAATGTGATAAAAGTGTAAAAACAGATTTTAAAAATAAATTAATTAAGTATAATGCATTTTAACGTATTTTAGCTAATGTATTTTAATGTGATAATGGTGTAAAAATAAATGATGTATCATAAATTAAATAAAAAACTATAAAAGTATAAATCGTAAATATTAAAAATGTTTCTTTACAGTATATATAATATATAATAATATAATTAAGTAAAAAACTATTCAATATTGGACTCATTTCGAAGGTATTAACGAGACGATTATAATGATGTAACTTATTAAAATAAAAATGTATTTTTTTAAAACATGTTTTAATTGATATACAATTATGTATGTTTATTTGATAAATATGTAAAATGAAACATTTAAAAGTAAATGACGTAAAGTAAATTAATTAACTAATTATAGGAGTATAAAGTGACAATTTTTCTCTTCTACTGAAATGTGCCCTTACATGATGTGAGAGGTGATGGAAATTGTGGATTTCGAGCAATAGTTGTCCACCTTGGTCTTCATGAAGATGCATGACCAACAATTCGGTTTAACTTGATGGAAGAGTTAGACGCATACAAGATAGAATACCTCAACATATTTTGAAGTCAGTATTGGAATATAATTTACAATATTTTAAACTTTTTTCAATTAGATCGAGGTGCCCCGGTTGAACATTGGATGTCCATGCCTGAAATTGGTGTCCTGATTGCTTCAAAGTATAATGTGMTCTTACACGTTATAGACATTACATGTTGTTCAACATACTTACCGCTTAAGTCTACTCCCCCACCATGGTATCAACATGTAAGTTTTGCAATTGGGTACGTTAACCGTAACCATTATGTGAAACTAGACTTGACAGAAGAATACCCGATCCATACTATTACTCCACATTTCTTTCATTTCTGCTATCCATGTGCTGCTGCATGGGCTACCTCGTATTTAGATCGAATAAACAAGTACCATCAACTTTTACGTGTTAATTGTACTACAAATAATGTTATTTTAGAATAAGTGAAAATGTAATATAAATTATGTTACGTTTTATTTATATATCAAATCTCAATTTTTTATGTTTTATGTTCGATTTTTATAATTATATAATTATCAGAAAAATAGTAATGTTTATATGAAAG